TCACGTACTAATAATTCAACGAAAATAATACTGTACAATATTGCATCTGTCTTGTACACTACGTTACTCTTTTATGTATAGACTCTCATATATTAGTAAAGAAACCATTGAAGTTTTTTTTTTTATTCCATGTGATCAAGTAATTGTAATATTTTTATTCCATGCTATCAAGTAATTGTAATGATAGGACTCATCTTTCTGCTATCACCTCCTTTTTCCCACAAAAATAATAAATAAATAAATAAATAAAATTATAAGTTTGGTTTTATCAGTATAATTTTGCTAAAAATACTTTTTCCAAGTTAAACAGAGACTACAATTCAAGAGCAATGACAAGGAGGAGGCTGCAAACACTCACTTATATACTAAGCAGGCATTCGACTAATGTGAAAAAGCAAACCTATAGCTGTAGAAATCAGCTAAGGCATATCTTGTTTATCAGCTTTGTTCAAGTTTTTACTTTCTCTATTTCTTAGTCAAACAGACACAGAGTCTAAAAAAATGAAGGTACCTTCCCTTCACATGATTGCCCAGAGAAGGAACATTGCTGATCTCTCTGCTCTTGACCAAGACTTTTTTCTTCCTGGTAGCTCACAGTTAAACATACCATAAATTCTGGACAATATTCTCAGTTTCCCTAATCTAATGAAAAAATTATGACCTACCCAGTCAGCTTTAATAAGTATCATGGCCTATCACCTTTTGTTGTCACTTCAGCTGTATTTGTTGTAATATAAATGAGACAAGAGTTCACAGAGCATTTTCAGTGAATAAACCTCTGAAGATGCTGAATACTTCATTAGTTAATCCTTAACAGTTATATGGTGGTTGAGTAGCTGTGCACTTGTGTAAAAAGTACCTTCTATCCACATACCAAAATAAGTTTATACACCTACTATTGATTATGCTAAGAAAACAAAAAGACATCTTTTTATTATATCTTCCTTTCGGATCAGAGCAGAGCGGGATTTAAACAAATAAAGATTTGTTCATGTTGAGTTTTGTTTGCTGTTTTTTTTTTAATTTTTATCTTTCCTTGTTACTAATAAAATTTTGAAGTTTACTGTGAAAGAAATCCAAATTAAGGGTCTTTTCTGGGTTTTGTTGCTTTTTTTTTTTTTTTCCCCAGTTACGATAGGAGTTAGCAATCTCCTTCAGCATTCACAGATTCAAATGATAAAGGCCAGGGATTAAACACAGCCGATTAACAGTCTGTGTCCTCTTCAATCTAGCATTTCCACTGTAGATAAACCCATATTCAGACTGAAGATATGATGAACAGACTGTCCTCAATATCATTTCCCTAGATGACCTCCTCAAAGCTGACATTCAAGTATTCTTGGGGAAAATTACAGACAAGACAATACAAACCCACACAAATGATTCTGAAGATCAACCCAATTGTTTAGAAAGTAATTTTGATAAAATGATAATTTCACTATAAATATTTTATTTGCTTCAGTTCTGAGTAATTTCTTATGATGACAGCTTTGACACATAAAACTTGTGAAATTTTATCTTTGTTGCTCGTACTGCATCTCTTTAAAATAATTGCATTTTTATACTTGCTATGAAAAAATAAAACAAACCTGAATGGATTATAGTGGCTCAACTCTTTCATTTCCAAAGGCAAAGGCAAAAAAAAAAACATTATCATTCTTCAGCTACCCCAGATTCTCTGAAACACAAATGTTACCCTAAGGAAAGTGTCAGTAAAAACCTCTTGTCCAGTGAACAGCAGCAAAAGAATAAAAATCCACATAGCCAGAATTCCAGAAATATTCTGTTATGTGTTTTGATTTCTATTATGAAAAATATTTTCACCAAAAATTAAAAACAAAAAAAAGCCCCTAAAAACAAAGATGCTTTTTGCCTTGTGAGAACATTTTAACACGGAAAATTCTGACAGGATTCTGCTGGTATTTGACATTTGAAATTCAGGGTCAAAAGAAAGGCTATGATTAACACAGACATAAGCTGTATAACAAGGCACTTTTAATTTCTTAGCCCAGACGCTCTAACTATTTTAAGGAATTATGGAATTTTAGGTCATTTAACCCAATAGAAGTACCAACATTTAAAACTATTTTACTATAACTAACTGATCTTATCTACCCAGTTAAAGGGATTGTATTCTACTCTTATTTTCATTCATTTACACTGGCAGAATGCTAGAGAAGCAATTCTGCAATCATATGAATGATGTGTGCATTTATTCTTCAATTGTTCATTCAAAGTACATGATCAAAATTTGGTTCCCTTTGACCAAACCACACATGCGATAAGAAACAGGTCATGTTATACAGTGAAAAAAAAAAAAAAAGCCAAACAAACCAGCAGCAAAGCAAACCAAAAAACCCAACCAAACCCGAGTTATATTCTGATTAGATATTTACTAGGATTGGTTTGAAGTAAGCACTGTGTGTAACCACACTTAGTTCATTCATGTTTTTCACCAAAGTTTAAAAAAAAAAAGTAGAAAATTATTCAGATTATGTTTCACAGTCAGAACATTAATTAGGTTTGGATGATTCCATCCACCTTTTCTCCCAGACACAAAACAGTTTCAAATCTTTTTTAAATGCATCTGTACTTGTGAAAGAATTGAAAATGTAAATTCTACTCAAAGTCATTCACTTTGAGATTTTGCTTCAAAAACTAATTTCATGGTCTGTCTCCATAACAACATAGCTTATTTTTGCCAACTAAAACTCATATAATGAATCATAATGCGTTTAATCAGATTGTATGGACTACAATTAAAGGCTGTTCACATTTAGCATCATTTGGACACACACTAACTTAGGAGATGTAATCTGTAGGTCAGTCCTTAATTATCTTTAAGAGCAGAAGGTTGCACATTTTCTTCACCAAAAAAGCCAAGTTATATTTAACTGGTAATAGGATATACAGCACACAATTAAAACATCATGTACTCCATTTATTAAGTTTCCCATTTCCCCATTGGAACCTGTTAACAATGCTTGTTATATTGTACAGAAGCAATCTTGCCTTCATCACTGACACTAAACCTTGTTTCTCATTATTCAGCTATATACTTTTTTATGCATAGGTTTATATTTTAAAAAGGATAAATGAAAGAAGTCAGATTCAATGTAGATGCTATTCAGTGTAAAAACAAAACCTAAAACCGAGAGGAACACAATTCCAAATTGTGGAATTAAGCAGACAAAATCATCTACAAAATATAAATTTATCAGTCCTTTCTCTTTTTGATCTAAGAGCAAATGCTATTAGCTATTACAGGCAAGATAAGGAATTTTACAGATTCTTAGTCATTCAGCACATGGTATTTTATTATTATCTAGTCAATATCAAATATACTTTTCCTAGATATCTGTATATATTTTGTCATATCTAATTTCCTGTCTTCCTTAATTAATGGATGAAAAGTCTTTTTACTAGGGCCTTGAAATAAGACTGAGTTAGCAACGCTCAGATACCTGCACAGCAAGAACAAATAAAATCTTAACCTGAAATGCTTTCTTAGGGCAAACTTACCCTAGTGACTAAATAAAAGCTGCATTACAAATCCAGAACATCAACAAATTTGGGAAAGAATTATCTATCTTACTACCCAAGGAGTGAGATACAGCACAATGAGCCTGGAAGAAGGAAAGAACTGACTAGAATGATCTGCCCCTTCGTCTACATGCATGCGCACACACACATGCGCATCAGAGCCTCCATACACACATCTTTACTTTCAGAGTACTTTCTATTTAAGCAGCTTAGTAGTATTTATATTTGCAGAGCCCCCAGTACTCCCAAACCTTACTCCTTTAATTTTAACTTTCAAGTTTTTGCTTCAGCTGATGAGAACAGGAAAAGAAGGTGGAATGTTTATTGCTGGCAAACAGCTTGGAAATTCTGAGTAAAGAAGCCAATCAAGGCAGAAGGATTATAATAATCAAAGTACAAAATTTGCATATTTAGAGCATGGTTACTGAGAAATAACAATGCCTTGGTTATGCAAATCAAACCCTCAGCTAAAGTGAAGGGATTTGCATTATCTGGGAGAAATCTGTCACGTTATGCATTGGTAACTGCGCTCTAAGTGGCTGAAAGAACTGGCTTTTAGCAGAATATCAAATATAACTGCCAGTAGAATTTCTTGTTTCCCTGTGATATCAAATAAACTTAACTCATTAGGGACCTGATGAAAACAGGTCTTCTTGTCTGTGAGAAGCAATACCATTCAGAACAACAAAAGACACATTCAGCATGCCATAAAGCTAGAAATTTTAAGTCTGAGATTATGAAAAAGTTCAGAGTTGCGTGTTAGCAATTGTGTTCATTCTTTTTTGCCTACAGAAGGTAGTTTAAAGCAGTCCTCTTCAGAAGACTGCAGAAAACCGATGAAAGCTTAAAGCTACCTATTCAGCTCTGCATAATACTATCATGTTTACTTCATTTTAGATTTAATGAATGAAGAAAAATAAGTTGGACTGAAAAGTTTCATAGGTAAAAATCCTGGAAACTAAACCAGCAGATTGAACTACTATAACAATTTTCTATTGTCTATTAAAATCAGAGTTAACAATAGGCTCAGAGGTATTGTAATAAAACTAAACAAAAAAATAAGAGGCGAGATTCTCATTTAAAAATTAGTATGTGGCAGTATTTGTACCATTAATGCATGGAAAATAAATGTGTTACTTCTGGTTATTGATTATTCCCGCTTTCCTCTCTTATGAATGATGCTCAGCTGCACTGTAAATGTAAACTTCAAACTGGCTTATGCACTCTGGCTACTGCTTGCAAATGAAATTGCGGTTTGATGTTACACTGAAACATGAGAGAGAATTCATGTAAGCATGTTCAATCAACAGAGTATTACTTATAATGCATGTTCAGAGGCATGATCTATTTCCACAGACTAAACATGGAGGAAACTGAGCAAGATGCTTTTAAGATTTGGCTACTACTCATGTGCATAACTGGTGAGTGCATGGTTGTGTGATCCTTGGAGTACTTACCATCTTCTGTGGGCACATAGATATTCAAATACAGACAGTCTTCATTTTGATCCTGAACATATGTCACTACAGTATCCAGATTGGCTGTAAACCAGACTGGCAGCATGTCGTTGAGCAGTGACCTCTCATCCAGGTACTGAGGGCAGACGGCAGCAAACTGTGTGGCATTGCGGACACCCGTCCAAGATGATGGTGGCTCTGGGGGCTGAAAACGCCTTTCTCCAGTCGGAGGAGAGGCATAAGGAACACCCAGGTACTGCTCCACGGGACCAAGGATCTCATTAGGCAAAGGTGTTCTTAAACCACGTATTTTGCCATAATTCGTGGTAACAACTGGGTATTGTGCTTGGCCATCAATGAGAGTAAATCTTATAGCCAGTGCAGTTATCCACAGCAGGAAGTTAGAATTCAACATGACACACACTGGGGTGAAGATCAAAGGCAGCCATAGGAGTCCCATTGGTTTCGACATTATTTAAATCAACATCAGCAGGGCCCTTTTCTTCCACAGCCAGGAGAAAATTAGTCAGTCAAGGAAATTAAAAACTAATAACATAAAAAAGTAGTCAAAAGGAGACGAAGTGAGGGAAAATGTAACCTTGTTCAAGCAGCAAAACTACAAAAGCTAATGTGTGGTAGGTGTCTCAGCTGACTGGCCACAGAAAAATCCCAACATCAGAAGAAACAAGGGAGTGTTTGCCCCTAAGGCTCATCCCAGGCTTCAGCATTGGCTTAATCCTGGCAATGTACAGCACTTCCCAGCAAGCAGCATGGGGAGAGATCCACAGTTACTCCACTTCACAGCAAAATGGCTCCTCCCAGTGAAGTCCAGCCCACTCAGTCAGCCTGCGGCCAAGAAAAAAGAAGCAAGACAAATCAACAGACACATTCATATTGGCACAAATCTATTCTAAAAGAACAAACCAAACAATTAAATTCCCACACTACTTCCATGCCAAGGCTCACAAATGTTTTATGAGCTGTAGCCACCATGGTTAGCTATGTGTTTCCAAAGATACGTAAGGTAAGAGAGCTGAAAGTTAAAGCCACAAGCTTGTCAGAGGTTATACCGCAAACCAAATATTTCTGCTCCTGTACATGCTTCCAAACCAAACCACAGCCCAAACACTGCTGCTTTCAGGAAGGGTATCAAATGAAGTGCTAGCTCCAGGGTATTTTCTGCCCTAAATAAACAAGCATTTCCTCTTAAGCACATGTGCACTCCCACTTGAAACCTTTATTAAATACTTTGCTGCACTGGATAATGTTTCTGTTGCTTTTCACAGGTAACCCTACACTTCTGTATGGCAACCTAAGTCACCTGTATCTAACTGAGAAATTCCAGTTAATGTAATAGCACTAGTTCAAATCAAGCATGAGAACAATTTGTCAAAATTAGATCTGAAGTTACTGGGTTTTGTATCTTTTCTTTGTTCTATGTCTGATAAAAAGGAAGAGTGGAAACTGAAGAGAAAAATCGTAAAATTTCTCAAAAGTCAGATTTTGACCTATGTATTGTTACAACGATGCAACATTACCTTCTTGCATTCTTCTGTTTTTAATTTTTAGACAGAAGGCAATTCATACAATTCTGTTAATTTTTAATAAAAGTCACACATATATATATGCTAACCATCACAGGTAGCATAAGTAAACACAGAGCACTTGTTAATTCTTGCATTCTCCTCCCTGAAAGAGCTTACTTTTATCCATTATTCAACTCAAAATGACAAATAATAAAACCACAGCTAAAAAGCTCTTTGTTATGGGAAACTGATACTGACACTTTACATTTGATATGACGAACACACACATATAAAACTCATGCAACCGGACTACTAGGTCCTGTTTTCAGTCAAGACTCTCTCATGAAGATATAAAAAGAGATTTGAAAAGCAGAAAAATAAAGGTACATAGCTACTGACAGTGATTTCAAAATAAAACAAACAAAACCAAGCAAACAAAACAAGAACCCACAAAAAAGGCAAAAAACAAAACAAAGAAACAAACAAAAAACCAAATCCAAAACTAAACACAAAAGAAAAACCAACCTAAAAATCAAAACAAGCCCACAAAAGAAAACAAACACCCCCAAAATAACCACAGGAGACATCTATGCTGATTCTTTTAGATAAGAAAAGGCATTTGAAAGAAAGATATCTCATTTTCTCAAAACCCCTGGAATTCTTCAATGGCTTCATTTTAGCACTCATATACCAAAACTTTTGAAACACCTGAATACCAGAGCCAGAAAATTATCAGATGCATATTACTTATGGTGAATCAAAATTTCTATTGACATTTTCACTGACAGATAATAGGCTTAGATGCTGCCTCCGAAGGACTTGCAATTTAAGCATAGTTTCTGGAGGACAAATCAGTAACAGTTCCCCGAGGGCACGACCAGGGCCATCAGTCCCTGCCTGAGCTATGCTGCAGGAAACTGTGCCCATACAGTCCATCAGCCTGGATCCTGCCCTCACTGGGTGTTGTGGTTTAAACCCAGTCAGGTAATTCGTTCACTCACTCCCCCCTTTCTTTCCCTCCCCCTACTCCCAGCGGGATGGAGAGGAGAATCGAAAAGAATGCAACTCCCACGGGTTGAGATAAGAACAGATTAGTAACTAAGGTATAACACAAATCACTGCTGCTACCACCAAGAATAACAGTGATAAAGGAAATAACAAGGGAAGAGAATACAACACCTCAGCACCAGCTGACCGATAACTCGCCCCCCAAGCTCGACCAAGCTCTGACCGATACCTCCTCCAACCCTGCTGTCTCCCAGCCCTTCCGGCTAACTCCCAGTTACCTCCTGGGCACGACGTGCTGTGGTATGGAATACCTCTTTGGTCAGTTTGGGTCAGGTGTCCTGTCTCTGCTTCCTCCCGGCCTCCCCTCCTCCCTGGCAGAGCATGAGGCTCACAAAGTCCTTGGCCAAACCAAAACATCGCTATCAGCTCTGTTCCCGAGCTGAAAGTCAAAACACTGCACTACACCTGCTACCAAGAAGGAGAAAAATGACTGCTACTGCTGAACCCAGGACACTGGGTCCCCAGGTCTGCCTTGGATCTGACTCCTTACCCTGCCTTGTCCAATAACCACAGGACAGTGGGAGCAACCTGTCAGTGTCTCCAGCCCAGCATCAGTAGGGTGCTTTAGGAGAATGCCCCAAGAGCAGCAGTATTTCCCTGCCAGTCCTGCAGTGCCTACAGCTCCTGGCTAATCCTCGCCCATGGAGCAGCCCCACTCTGAGCGCTGAGAGCGTTCAGACAGCTAGCTGAAAACTCCTCCTGAAGCACTGTCTTCCCCTCTGGTTTCTGCTACCGTTTTTAACAATCGAAGTCAGCAGCAAGCAACTGGTTTTGGGTGGTGTTCCCTCTTGCTCTCTCATAGCCTGACTTTGGTACACTTTTCTGACCATGAAGCACAAAGCAGAATTTCCAGTCATACCCAACTGAGGATTTAACCTCTGCTCAGGAAAAAACAACAGATCCTATTCCCTTGACACCCACACTGGATAAGTTTGTAGCAATATAGTAAGAAAAAAAAACATGGAATAAAACACTGAAAAAAATGACAAAGTGGAAGGAAGCAATCCCAGGGTCGGAGTAATCCCAGGCACAGCTACAGGTTGGGCAAAGAAGAGATTCAGAACAGCCCTCTGGAGAAGGACTTGGGGGTGTTGGTCGATGAGAAAATGAACATGAGCTGGCTTCAGTGTGTGCTCGCAGCCCAGAAAGCCAACCGTATCCTGGGCTGCATCAAAAGGAGCGTGACCAGCAGGTGGAAGGGGGGGATCTTGCCCCTCTACTCTACTCTTCTGAGACCTCACTTGGAGTATTGTGTGCAGTTCTGGTGTCCTCAACATCAAAAGGACATGGAACTGTTGGAATAATTCGAGAGGAGGGCCGCAAGGATGATCAGGGGACTGGAGCACCTCCTGTATGAAAATACACTGAGGAAGTTGGGGCTGTTCAGCCTGGAGAAGAGAAGGCTGCGCGGAGACCTCATAGCAGCCTTCCAGTATCTGAAGGGGGTCTATAGGGACGCTGGGGAGGGACTCTTGATTAGGGACTGTAGTGACAGGACAAGGGGTAACGGGTTAAAACTTAAACAGGGGAAGTTTAGTTTGGATATAAGGAAGAAGTTCCTTACTATGAGGGTGGTGAGGCACTGGAATGGGTTACCCAAGGAAGTTGTGAATGCTCCATCCCTGGAGGTGTTCAAGGCCAGGCTGGACGAAGCCTTGGGTGGCATGGTTTGGTGTGAGGTGTCCCTGCCCATGGCAGGGGGGTTGGATCTAGATGATCTTAAGGTCTTTACATGATTCTGTGATTCTATGAAAGACAGTGACCTAGATGATGAAAAATGGATAGAGAAAAAACTTGTCTGGGCAAACAGCAAACGGAAAAAACAGGAAACAAATCAAGAAAAGAAAACGGGAATGACAAATAACAGTGAATATCTTAGCAGCATGGAGAGAATGAAAAATTGCAATATGAACGAAAGTGGAACTCCTCAGTTGATACATATACTACAGATAGTATAAAACTGTTGAAAATGTGACTTAATATTTATTCATACTAATTATAGGTTATCTTTGGATCAAATATCTGGTTATATGTTGCTATTTTGAATAAGTAGAGAGGATAGGAAAAGGGAAACATTCATTACTGACCTGGAATTGAATTTGTTAACTGATTCCTTATCTAGAAAATACGACCAACAAAAGTAGATTTGTGGATATTAAATCCACTCATATAATGTTTTATATCCCCCTATATCTTAAGAGAAGTATACGCAAACTTTGCATTTCTGATTCACGCACACATATACATAGATTTGACATCTCCTGAATGTGTAAGGAAACGAACTACTGGCTAACATGCAAATTATAGCCAGCTCTCTCAGCCCCAGTGATTGACCTATACCAGACCTGCAGCCTCTGCCAACCAGTGACAGACAAACACTGGATAGTAACAAGTGCATTAGCATAGGCAAGGTTTATACCATAAAAGAGTACTTCTAAGATGGTAAGTCAGAATAAAAAAAATATTTATTGTGATGAGCATGATTATTAAACTTATTGTTGTTAGCCCCTTAAGAGGTTAACAGACAGAATAAAAATTTGTTGTATTTCCTGTTAAACAGGTATCTTGAAAAAGTTTACATAAGCAGTAAGTTACATGTGACCACTGTGTCAAGAAAGTCTTTAAAAGAAGTCCCCTGGAAAAAAACTGTGTTACAAAGAGACTGTAAGTCAGAAAATATCCCACTTTTCAGTTTACTGACATACTGCTGGAGAAATTATCATTTACAGAAGGTTATTTTCACACATGAAAGACATACACATGCATGCACAGAGAAAGATACATGGAATATGACGTGGTTGCATGATTGCTTGTTTGGGATTTTTTTGTGTTTTGGTTTTGTTTGGTTGGTTTGGTCTAGAATCACAGAATTATAGAATAGTTAGGATTGAAAAGGACCTTAAGATCACCTAGTTTCCAACCCCCCTGCCATGGGCAGGGACACCTCACACTAAACCGTGCCACCCAAGGCTCTGTCTAACCCGGCTTTGAACACCTTGAACACAGTTCCATGTCCTTTTTATGTTGAGGACACCAGAACTGCACACAATACTCCAAGTGAGGTCTCACGAGAGCAGAGGGGCAGGATCACCCCCTTCCACCTGCTGGTCACGCTCCTTTTGATGCAGCCCAGGATACGGTTGGCTTTCTGGGCTGTGAGTGCACACTGAAGCCGGCCCATGTTCATTTTCTCATTGACCAACACCCCCAAGTCCTTCTTTGCAGGGCTACTCTGAATCGCTTTGCCCAACC